TGTCCGAGAATCAAACTGCGACCCTGCTTGGGCGCAGCCGGTCGCAGCGGCTGCTTTTTTGCAGAATTCTGCTCTTGGCTCTTCGCCCGACGAGCAAGCATTCTTCGCTTTCCCCCTTGGTGGCAGGGGGGTCTGAACGCTCCCAAGGATGGAGAAAGCTGCCTTGCAGGGGAAAATGGGAGAGCCAGAGATTGCTTTGAGGAGAGCTGAGCGACCTCACCAAGGTTTGCCTAGCCTCGTGTGCACAGAGACCCCTTCCTCCTGCTGTCCAGCACAGCTGTTGGTCTGGCATGCAGAAGGTTTCAGATTTGATTTCCGACATCTCCAGGTAGGGCCGCAAAACTCTTCCATGAAGACATAGGCGCTCACTGCTAGGAAGTATCAATGATACTGGGCTAGTGGGTTCGACTCAGCTCTCCCAAGTTCCTAGTCCCTCACATCTGGCAGAGCGTGGAAACTCATCACCCCATCATGCCGGGAAGCACTTACCTATTGGACCCTCTCCTCTACCCCCCCAACCCAAATTCCCAAAGGATGGTCCTTCCATGGAGGTCTTTAGGTTGCAGCCACACTTTCGGATTAAGCAGCCACCCGGTATCGACTGACTAAACCACAAAAAGAGCTTTCTGTCCTTGACGCAGCGTTGGGCTCCGAAAACTCCAGATGTTACTCTGCCCAGAGCTTAATTTGACTGCATCCTGGTCCAGCCTGTGGGATTTCCTAAGGGGCTGGTAGCTTAAAATAAAACTTACCCCAGCTATAGTTCCCTTGACATGTATATGCAAAGGCAATTGATAAGCAGGTCTTGGCTGGCATGCAAACAAGGGGACAGGCAATAACTCAGTGGCAGAGTTTTTGCTTCACATACATGAGGTTCCTGCTCCCCCCCCCCCCCGTGTCTCCTTTTAAAAGGGGGATGTTGTAGGTGGTGGCGGAACCTTTTCTGCCTGAAACTCTGGAGAGACACTGCCGATCAGAGCACAAAATACTGGGCTAAGTGGCCAAACTGGTGCAGGGTTCTTAAAGCACGTGGGAAAATACCTGGAAAAGTGTTGCATCATCCCACCTAGAGAAACACAGAGGCAACCCTAAAATATCCCTGTGCAGCTGGTGGGATAAACGCACCTTCCCTGAGAAAGTGTTCCTTTGATGCATCCCTGTAGAGGCAGCTCAAGACATGCCACTGCTTGAGGTGTGCCAAATCGGCTGCATGGGGTCATTTTATTTCAAGGCAGTGGACAGAACAAGCATCATCTGCCCTCCTCTGCCACCTGCACAAGGCGGAAGGACAAATTGCTTCAGAAATGGAAGAACCAGGGCGGGCAGGGCCAAAAATAAATATTGACTGCGAAGGCCAGCATAGCCTAAGCGTTTGTGAATCTGCTGCCTCAGGCTCTTGTTGCTGCATGGGAAGAAGGACATGTGCCGTCTGAGCCATTGCAGGAGGAGGGGAGGAGGGGGCTGCCCGCTGCCCTCCCATGCCCAGCTCCCGCTCCCCCAGACCCTCGCTCCTTTTTGCCCCACAGCAGCACTGTCCTGCTCTCGGATCACTGGAAACTGCGATCGCGGTGTTGCTTAACGATCTTGATATACACAATGGCCATTTCTTCTGGTCTTTGTCAAACTTGGCAGTCCCTTAGCTGCTTTTGCTTGCTGTCTGCTGTTCTTCCTCCTAGCTCTCCTTAGAATGCAGTGACCCAAACCAAACAAATTACTCCAGTTAAGGCCCAACTAGTGCCAAATCGGGCAGCCGTCATGAGTTTGGGGGATTATTCACACATGGCCAGCCTCTGGGCCTTAACTAATATTAATTGAGTCTACTTGCTGGAGCAAAGACTCTCACTGCGATCATGAAAAGCATGGAATAGTGTGGTGGAAAAATGAAACACAGGCAGGGAGATGAGAGCAACAAGAAGGTTGTAACTTCACAATGAAATACATCTGGGCCCACAGCTTGGTCCATTTTCTAAAGCCCATTTTATACGGCAAGATTGCCCAAGAGTTGACCCCTCAGTGCATTTACTGATCTAGACAAAATGTTCAAGCCTTCAGCAGATGCTGGGGTAATTAATTTAGCATTCCCAGATTCGTGACATAAAGCAGACCTTTTGTCTATATATACTGTAAATAAGTGAAGTTACAATACTTAAGAAGCCACTTTAGTTGAGGACTAAGAAGTTAAAGCCAAAGTAGCTACAGAAAATCAATGGTGGTCCACCAGCCTAAGGGCATGAAGAAATCCCAGAGACCGGTAACCAAGTACTGTGGGGTTCAGTAACTTTTTCCATGAATGACTCAGCAGCTGCATTTGCTCATGTTCACGGAGTTGACTCAGTACACCACTGGGAATTAAAAAGGAAAGAATCCTTCCGTAGGCCAGTTTTGGGAGTTTCAAACACTATTTATTTAGGTTCTTATATACCGCCCCATTCCCATAGGCTCTGGGTGGTTTGCAAGAGATTAAAACCAACAATAGTTGAAATTTCAACTAAAACCTATTAAATAAAACTAATCTGGGAATGCCTGTCGGAAGAGGTATGTCTTTTACTCCCTCTTTAAGGGAGCAATTTGGGGCAGGACATTTAACAGTTTAGGGGTGACCCTTGTCCTCTGGGTAGCCGATATTAATCTTGCAGAAGCAAACTCCAGCAGATTTTCCCCAGAGGAGCGAGTGAGGTGGAATGTACGAGCAAAAGTGCTTCTGAAGGTATTTTGGACCTGGGCCATGAAGGGCTTTAAAGAGAATTACCAACACCTTGTACTGCATATGGAAATGTATTGGCAGCCAGTGCAGGGGCTTTAATATGGGGGATACGTGGTCTCTTCGTGATGATCCAGGGACCAACCTGACTCCAGTGTTTTGTACTAGTTGCAGTTTCCAGAGTAGGCACTAAGAGTGTATTGCAAAAACGGGGGGCTCCCAGTATGTGCTGCAGTTGGTGCATCAGCCAAAGGTGGCAGCAGATCCCCTTGTCCACCGCTTCTCTCTTGGCCAACCTCTCAAGGGCTGGGGCAAGCAGCACCCCCACTGCAATACGTCTTCCATGGGGAGTGACCCCATCTAGAACTGGTACACACACCTCTAATTCTGGACTGGAAACACTTTTATTTACTTCTGCAGCAGCTTGATTTGCTTGTATGAGCAATGTAGCGCTACTGTCACTGTATCTGCTCCTTGCACATGTGGAGCATGAAGGAGGTGTGCATGGCTTGATCTTGTACACACATACTTGTGAATAAGCGACAGAATCAGAAAGCTAACTGTTGCCTCCTACCTTTGGCAGTTCTCTCTCTAAATCTTAGGTAGATATACCTTATGCCATGGTTGAGTAGACTTCAAGCTTGTGGACTCTACTTTTTCCCCTACCAGATCCTTAAGTGAAACCAGGTGCAAAAGACGTACACTTAAGAATTACAGAATTCTACATCCAGGGGACCAGGATTGCACTAAGTTCAGTCCTTCTGCACACACCTCTGCTCATGCTAGCGATTCTTATTTCCACAGTGTAACTCAGACAGGGGCAGAATCAATTTCTTATTGCTGAGCAATTAGAAGTTGGAAATCCTTGCTGATCTACTTCAGATCATTCCAAAAATCCAAGCATTTCCTCACCTACCAATTGTACAGCATGGGTGTGTACCATCATCACATTTGAGGGCAAGGCATTTAAAACACAAGTAGGTTCAGGAAGAGCATATCAGAAAATGCAGCTTCAGAGACAGCTATCCTAAAATGACAGAACTACACCTCTCCTTGTGGAGGAGAGATTAATCCCACGGACCACCTGGTGCTGATGAAAATGAAAACCACACATCCCACATAGTGGTAAAAACAATTTTACTTTCTAGCCTGACACTGGAGACCTTGCTGCTCATAGGCCCACATGACAAATCTCAAACAATCTGCTGTTTGTTTTCCTTGGCACAAGTTTAAAAACCAAGGACAACCTCAGCTGGAAGTTGCTCTTCCGGGAGGATTCCTAGAATAGCTTGGAAAAGAGCACCCCCTAGTGGCAAGAAAGGCTTCTGAGATACTCTACTTTCCATCAAGGGATGGGAGTATTGCCTGATACTTTATTTTCACTAAATGTACTTAAATGCATTTAATTATCTATATTAATCCAAAAAGAACCCAGAGTCCCCGCTTTGCATGTCATGAAAAAGAAATCCAGGAATACAACGTTCCTGGGTTAATTTAAAGCAGAAACAAGAAGTGTATGGCTGACATGGTCTAATTGTCCCACAATTCCTGGATTAAGTGAACCAGGAAATGACATATGAACTCGGTCAATATGTTGGCAGTTAGTCTGCACTCCTTTGCTCATTGGCAAGAAACTAAGCTGAGCATTGTTTAAAGAACTGCACTAAGGAACCAACCATGCCGAGTACCACGGAAAACAAAACATGGCACTAACGAGTGATCAATTCTTCAAATCCAGGAGTGCATTAAGGATGAGGTGGGTGGGAAGAGTGCACACCTATTTCACATAGAATTATAGAAGAGTTGGAAGGAGCCATGAAGGCCATCGAGTCCAAACCCCTGCTGTTGCAGGACACCGTGTTACACCACCCCACTCAGATGGCTGTCCAGTTTGAGTGTCTCCAGTGCGGGAGAGCCCACCCCCTCTCCAGGCAGCTGGTTCCACTGCCGTATTGCCCTGACTGTGAGGAAGCTTTTCCTGATGTCCAGCCTGAATCTGGGTTGTCGCAACTTGAACTGATTATTCCGCATCCTACACTCTTCTGGCATCAGCAAGAAGAGATCTTGACCTTCCTCTTTGTGACAGCCTTTGAGGTACTCACAGAGGGACATCATGTCCCTGTTCTCTTCCCCCATTTTCAGCATTCACCTTCCAACCTCACGCAGTGTTACTGCCGTCCCGCAGAACCTGTGCAGTGACCCCTGCTTCCCCTCAACATCTCTTCCATGCATTCCCTACAAGTGGCAGGCCAGCTGCGACGGGTTCTCAAGATCAAACACAAGCAATAGTGAAACAGACTTAAAGTGGGACCATGTTTATTGACACAGACATTTATTTTGATAAAATTTGTATTTAAATCACCTGCTTCTGACATTTCTCCATGCCTCAGAAAGCATGTTTTTCTGATCTTCATGTTTATAGCTATTTACATCTTTAGATACCACACTAAAGCAAAACTTATGGCATATCGTCTCCTTCTGCAAATCCTATCAAAAGCTATGAAATAACAACCTCGGGCTTAAAACGCAGATAGGTGAAACTGCAAATGGTAGGCCATTTACGGGGGAGAAAAAGGGGTTTACATAGATCACAAAAAATAATGTCAGCAGGTACAAGTTAGTTTACTAAGAACATCCACTGACTGGAATCAACAGTGTGTAGATGCTGGTGTATATGAATGCCACACTGTAATTCCCCTTCCGTCACAAAAGCTACAGCCTATGTTATTTCAGTTACGCTGTGTGCCCACCCACACATTACCTTTGTGTATCGAAAATGCTACTGGATAGATCACAATTGCTTCTACTTGTATCTTTCAACCAAAGCAAGGCAAGGCTACAAGACACTATTTTTCTATGCAGTTTTGAAAGAGAATCCTAAGTAATTAAAAACAGGACAAGTTGATGAAGAAAACCCTTCACAGCATCTTTGATAAAGCGATGCGGGAAAGAAGCCAGAAACACCGTTAACGGAAAGTGTGCCTCACTTCAGGACAGATGTGACGGTGACCTCCAAGAAGCTTGTTTACCAAAGTTTTAGAAGATTAAATTAAAATCAGGGAGGCAAATTTGGCAGCTCCTCTGGCAAGCTGCTCTGTGGATGATGCAAACGGCATTTGCCATGGGAAAGACACACACCACGCAAGACTTGGGAGAGTTGTGGCCAGCCACAGAAGACGTCGCTGGCCCGAATGCATGCACAGCCGGGATCGGTACAAGGCAGCTTCATATGGAATCGGAAGTTGTTTAAAGCATTGCTCACAGGATAGAGAAAGGGACGGGGATTTTAACAGACAGCTTTGTGTGTTAAGTTACATCTTTTACTTCAGAGGGAAGACACATCTTTAACTCACAGGTACAAAATGGGGTCTAAGTTGTGTGAAAGATCAGCCATCACTGCCTTAAAACCTCGGATGCCACAGGAACACGGGTACAGCTACTTTCTGGGCTGCACGTGGCCCTGGGCAGACTGCAAAGCAAGAGCTAACCAAGTCTCTGGTGCATCGTAATACCACATTGCTCTATTGTGTACAGCCTGGGGTTACCTGTTCTATACTATGGGCCTGGGCTTGAAAGATGCTTGCATCCTGAAGTATGAATTTAAACACAGATATGTGAAAGATGGCCATCTGCTATACTGGACAATCCTAACTTGTCTTTGTCACTTAAAGAGAGGAAAACTTTAAGTTAACCAAAGTAGGCAATTCTAAAGGAAATAAAAAAGGGATTAAAAAGTATCGTGTGGCAATATTTGATGTTTCACCCCAGTTCCTCCCAGCTGGGTGGAAACACAACATTTTCACAAGATACACTCTTCTTTCTTTTCTTGCTTCAGAGTTCAAGGCTAAAATCCTACTTAAGTGGATGCTCCACAGTCTAACACAGCCTCTTGTACTATCAAACTAAAGCATATTGGTGAAATTGGTTCCAAACAGGAAAAACAAACAAAGATGATTTTGGCGGCAATCATATTTCATGTAGGAAAAACCCTACAGAAAGAGTCTTCCAGCCCTTTTTCTGCTTCAGAGGTCCCTGCTGGGGCACAGACATGGCAACGCACCCAGCCACTGACAATTTTATTTAATTGATTCCAATTTCTGGACACCCTCTGAGAGAACACAACCATCTGCCCAGAAAACTAGCTTCAGAACAATCTTCGCAGCTGCCACATTACCTATCTGGCTTAGCACTCATGCAACAGACCCTCAGAAGGAAACAGTAGCTGCGTTTCCTTCCCCTCTACTTTTCTTCTTTCAGAGAATGTAACCACAAACTGGATAAAATGAGCAAGTATGTACGCAATCAAGTTTAAAGCAGGGGGGAAGGACTTCTGCAGCAGAAAGTGCTGCCGTTTTGGTTGTTTCCTTTTTGAAGCACACACAGCCTTTTTCTCACTCATGTACCAAACAGGAATTCTCCTGATGAATCTTTCGGAGATCACACTGATTCTCTGGGGAGTGTTACTCTCCCATGAAGAAAGTTTTCCCTAGAGTCCCTGCTGATGAAAAAAAAACAGCTTTAATTGGGCACTCAACATATGCCAACCCCATATTCAATGCCTTTTGCCAATATTGTGAATTTGGTGGGATTTTTTTACTTTTAGGGGCAAGGCTTACCAGGTCAGATTATACTATTGTGCTGCTTTGCTCTTTTAGGGTGAAGCAGCTTCATTTAGGAGTTGCCCAAAGTAACTTCTGAAATGGTCACTCAGCAAAAGAACACAGGTGAGATATCCACAGGTGTCTCGGCAAGGTTGTCGTTTTTTCTTTTTCTTTTCTACTGAATGAAATCTTCATTTCAGGAAGCAGCAGAAGCGGCTGCTGCCAGCCTGTCCCCGCTCTGCTCCCTGCCATGGGAGGAGGACAAAACCGGAGCACGCAAACCAAGGGAAAGAATCTGAAAAATGGTATCGTGTTTTAAGAACGTGGCAGCCACATTCCCTGGCCAGCTTCCCCACCATGCGTGGTCACATTAACAGGCAAGCAAGTGGCAAACATTGGTCAAGCCCTACGCAGTGTTTTAATGTCCTGCCTACCTCTCTGCTGTATGCTGACAATGGCCTTATTTTTCTCTGTAATAGAGCAGGTAATATTTCAGAGGATCAGGCAAAGGGAGGCTCAAGACCTTCTCCCTCAAGATGTTTATAGGAGGGTCGGGCTTCAGTTCAGGGACAGCTTTTTCCACCTCTTCCCTGCTCTCTTCCTCCAATTCTTCACAATTATTATCGTCAGAGGGGTTTGAGATCCGACTGGCAAAGACCTCTTTGTCCAAGAAGACAATGGTTTCCATGCGCCTCCGCCGGACGCGCCTCCGCTTAAACCTTGGTGGGTTCCGGAGGCCGTTGCCGCTTCTACCTGCTGTTTCCTGGTGGATCAGCTTTTTAATGGTGCTGCGGATGGCAATGCGGGCGAGGTCTTGGAGGCTGCGGACCATCACTGGGGCTAAAAACATGAGAGGAGGAATTGGAACCAGTGTGAAACCTTCAGTGATTCATTTACTGTATTTCCATACCATGTCACATTCTGAACAAGATTCATGTGCCATGCAAAATTTTCAAGCAGCAAACAATAAAGAGAAAGAAATGCATCAAAATACAGAACTTGAATTTTAAACCAGGTGATTTTATCTAAAACTGTGGCTGGCCAATCAGAGAATTCTTGTTTAAACAAAAATGTCTTCAGCAGGTGCTGGCTGACCCGAAGAGCAGGGAGTTCCACAAAGAGGAAGGAAAAAGAGAAAGGACCTGCTTTGTGTGAGCTCCAGACAAGCTGCAGGGCCATGCCGAATCACCAGAAGTGCTTTGTCCGACGACCACAGTAGCCACGCCAGCTGGTAGAGGAAAAACTGTCTTTCAAATGTCCTGCTCCTGAGTTGCTTAGGGCTGTATATTCCAATTACACAGCCTTGAACCTGCCCTAGCAGAAACAAGGCAGCTAGTCCAATTCTCTCCACACTTGGTGCAGCTTCTGGGCCAACCTTAAGGGCAGCTTCACACAGAGTATGTTGGATAAGCAGTTGAGGGAACTAGCGCCCTGAAGCACCGTCACCTGATTCAGCTGGCACAGCGGGACAGAGCTGTGACTGCTCACAGCAGCGTCACTGAGATTTTGAACTAGGCGGGATAAGACAGTGCCCTGCAAAACCCTACAGCTGGGAAAGAGTCATCTGGTATTGCTCTGTGAAACTGGTCCCACAGGTAGTGCTGCTGCAACACAGTGAGTCTCTCTAATGCCCAACCCATGGAGCCAGTCAGAATACTGTGGTCAATGCTATCAAATGATCTCTAGCAGCACTGAAAGGGTCACACTCCCCTCGTCTTTCTCTTGATAAAAGAGAAGACTGATTCAGTCAAAACAAGGCCGAGGCCCAGAATGAAAGGCTCAGATAAGCAGCATCTGAGTGCTTGCGATGGCACTCAAGTAAGCCCCAAGGAAGGAATATTTGCACTGGGTGGAAGCGATTCAAAATGGGTACCCCTGGTTCTGTCAGGGCAGCAGGAACCACATGTTCACATACAGATACGCTTGTCACCCCTGGATTCATCCTCTTTCCCTCTCTGCTGTGTCACACACACCCTTAGTCACTAATATATCTGCTGAAGTAGCGCAGCTCGGGACCATGAGAAGGGGCTGCAGACGACGCTGGGAGATGTCTGGCTGTGAGGAATGTCTTTCAGAGCCTCATGGGGCTGATCCCAAAGATGACAGCATTGAAAAGGCTGCAAACTAGAGAAGAGGGAGACTTACGCAGATGAACAAGTTTTGACTTTCCTGAATCCGCATGGTTGGGCTGGATCAGAGGGGCAAAGGAGACAGCCAAGATCTTCTTTGTCTCCCAGGCTGAAGGGCCAGTTCGAGTTATCTTAGTCAGCTGTGTGAAGAACACAAACATAACCTGAAGCATTGGACACTATCGTGGACAACAGAAACAGGGAATTTGTCAGATTTAAAATACATCCTCCCCACTTTCTGCAATGCAACATTGAAAATGCAGTGTTTAAGCCCAAATCCAGACCAGAGCCAGAACAAGGAGCAAATTATGTATGAAAACGCTGCGTTACTTTGAGCAGTTGTCCAGGACCCATTAATTGTGGACTGTTGGTAGCAATGGAAGAGGAAGCTGCCTTCACCATTTCAGATGCTCAGGTGGGACTCCACAAATACATCCGTCAGGCTTGCCATGTCAAGGACAATCACCACCACCAGCAGTAGCAGCAGCAGCAAGTTTCTGTATTCTGCTCCTTCTCAGCAGTGCTTCCTTGCCTTCCAAGCTCATCTTAGTACTCAGGTGCTTGAATTTGAAACTTGAATGCACAAGGTGGTTTTAGGGTTTGTTCTCTTGTTCAGAAATTCGTACTTTCACAGACAAGGAATTCAAGGGAACTTCTAACTCCTTTTGCCAGAGGAGACTGTCACCCAAATCAAAGAACAAAAGCTGTAAGTCTCCCCAGATTTCTCTGTAAACACTGGCCAGAAGGGCTCACTTCTCCTGTAGGCAAGGGTCATAGCAAAGTGTCAGCTGTGAGTCAGCTGCAGCCTAAACGGACAGATCAGGAGAAAATGAGCAAATCTTCAATACAAAACAACTCAGGGAAGTCCTGACGCTTAGAGGCAGAGGCCCATGGACAAGACCCTCCTGGGGTCGCAATGGTAGTGTGCGGGGGTACACGCTTGTTCACCAGCCCCTCACTGTGGCCGAGTGAATGGTTTTGCTGAGAAAGAGGAGAAGCAGATGCCACGGCCTGCTTTCCCATTCTTCTTTGCTTCTCAAGCAAGCAGTAGCCATGATGAGAAGGACGAGGAGGAGCCAGAGCAGCTGGCGAAGATGGTGGCCACCGAGTGTGTCCTGCCCAAGCGCGCTGGAGCTGCACCGGCAACAGCAGCAGTGTTGATGTGGCAGAGCCTGCATGGAGAGCCCCAAGGTCGCCCTCCCATCAGCGCCAGCCTCGTTGACGCAAGTCTCCCCTCATCTCCAAGCACACGATGTTCTCTCTTCCCAGCACACCCTAACAACGCAGTGAGTGACAGAGAGGCAAGCTGCCGAAACGGATTTTATGTGACACGTTTGCACACCTTTTCCATGTGTAATACCATCAGCTATCTCGATGCATTACACGGCCACCCTTTTTGGAAACGGCAGAATATGGCAAGAATCAAATGAAGCCATAAGGCATAAGGTGACCCCCATCCCATAGGCAAACCTTCTCCTCCAGTGGCATGACAAGGATCCCACCAACTTTCAGCAGGTTTTTCATATAGTCTTCATGCTCCTTCTGGACACCAGCACCACAATACACGCGGTCATACTGACAGCAGTCTGGAGAGATCTCTAAGCAGTTGCCAGTAACAAAGGCAGGCTCACAGAATTCAAACCTGGGAACATGAAAGGCTGTTTGTGAGTGAATCTTACAGTGGGCACACATATGAACCGACTGAACCTGCCCCATCATATATAAGTTGGACAAACAATAAAAAATAGTTCTTTCCTTCGCACTAAAAAAAATTATACCGTCCATGAATTTCACTTCCATGTGTCACAAGGACAGAGTAAACTTTGTCACCTTACAATACATACGCACTCCAAAACTGCTGCTACTACTTCGACAGAAACTTGGCAGGTGCAAGTTTTCAACAACAGCTAAGAGAAGAAAAATGAAATTGAGACTTCCTTTACGTTCTTAGGCCAGTGATACATCAAACCCAGCTGCTCTCCAGGGTCACAGGCCAAACTCTTGCCTAGGCCCATACACTTAATATTCTCTTAACTGGAGACACCTGGAACTAAACCCAGACTTTCTGCATGCAAAGCGCTGGGCTATGGCTGCTTCCCGGGTTTGGTGGGGCAGAGGAGGAGGTGGCAGTACTCCCTCTTTCTCCTTTGGCCAGTGCAGTAACAAAGTCAATTTCCTGAAAGGCAAGCAGGGTTCAGATTTATGTAAGACCTTGCCCACAGTATTGTTTACAATCTCAGAAGCATGGCTGAAACGCACTTCTAGACTGAACAGAGTTAACGGTTTTTGTTTCTTAGCTCAAGCATATTAAGTCTCTTAGTTCCACAACAGTGGAAGGCAACAGTGTCAGCAGCATGCAGACAAGTCAACAGCCTTGAGAGGGAGGATAAAACCTTTTGTTTTGTCTTGCTGCAGTTAACATCACGTATATCATCCTGAATTCATGGCGTGCTACGAACAGAAGTTACAATCCACAGTATTAGATCTACCCTTGAAGTCTGTTTTAATGCAAATTAAGCATGGTTTTTGTTCTTACTTGTCAAAGCTGTCACTTGTTCTGATGAAGCAGTCCAGTTTCTGCTTTGCATATTCTATAACGTCAGAGTGAAGCTCTACGCCATGATTAACACCGAAAGGGCCTGAGTGTTTAAGGAATGCAAAGAAAAAAGTTTCAAAAACAAGCTGATGAAGGACCAGAGTCAATTCAAAAAGTTTTTCTCTGCTTGACACAGAAACTGAGAAGAGTCATTGCTGTTGCCATTTTCAGTCTCCCATTAAAATGCAGCTACATGCTGAATCCTTTAAAAGACAGTTTTAATTACTGGTGTAACTAAGTGAATAATCAGATTGAAACAAAGGAGTCCTGGCCTAAGAGAGGCACAGAAAAGTGCACTGCAACTCAGTAATAGTCAAGCAGAGAAGGAATGGAAGAAAATTCTGCAAAGGGAAAAATGTGCAAGTTCACTCGAGCCCTATCTGGCACCTGCTTATACAGCTCACATAACTTTCTTCATGGATAAAGCACCTTCAAAACCCCTAAAATGCATGCAGAGGTTGTTTTTATATGAATGTTTATATTTAGTGCAAACTACTTTCTGTACAAGTAACAGCAGGAGACCAGTGGTGGTCCTCCAGTTCCATGAGGTTCTCTTTCATCTGGAGGTGGAGTTTACCTGCTCTTCCTTTCCTGCAGGGGAAGCAACCCTTTCCCACTTTTCTAGACCTGCACACAATGAAAGGAACTTGATGGCTCCAGCCACTGCACTGAGTTCTGAGTGAGCCAGTTTTTAAAAGTGTTTTTTTGGAGGGAGGGAGAAATGTTGGTAGCTAATACAGACCATCAAGAGTCAGACTGACTTTACGAGCAAGATAAATTTGATCCTTTTGGTGCTTCACAGCAGCTATGGATCCATTTTTCCCAGAGGTTCCCGCACAGGCTGGATGTGTGTGTCTGTGTCTAGTGAGTGACAATGGTCCTTATCCTGGGCCTCCTAAATTTGCCCACCTGTATTATGCCAATGTCTTGGTCTGCCTGAAGACCCAAATCCCGAAGCAGACTGTGCTGCAACTTTCAGTCTGCCACCTGGCATTCAAGAAGGGTAGCTTCTTAAAGCAGGCTGACAAGCTGGTTGCCCACTATCCATTCCTGGCTGTGTTAACTGTTGTGCTAGAAAATGCACCACAGCACGCCAAGAGTTGTTAGGAATTGCAAAGTCGGGGACCACAAGGCAGTAAGTTGGGCGATAATCCAACAATGCAAAACAAGGGCGTAACATTTCACATCTGCAGGATGGCTTTTGCAGCAGTTCCCATGGGTACCTTGATGGTACCATGATGTGCCCAAATGAATTAGCTATGCACCATGTTTACCTGGGGGCTGGGGCTGGAATTTCTGGCACTTCCTTCCAAATTCTACCAATACACGTTCTTCCAAACTGTACCTCACAGAGACATCATTTGATTCTCAAGAAAGGGCTGATCACTCTATGTAATAGCCAGCATTTGTGTGGTGATACAATGAATATAAATAGCACTGTTTATACTCACTGCATTAACAAGACTGGAAAGGCAGGCCTCCTTCTCAAGTCACGAAGCTTGATTCACAGGGCAAATTTAGCTGATCGGAAGGATCACTTACCCAAGATGAGTCCAACCATGGAACTCAGGTAGCCAGTGCCACTTCCCAGGTTCAAGAAAGAAAGCCCAGGCTGCAGATCCAGAGCTTCCATAACCTCTGAATAAATGCAGGGAGCAGAGAGATGAATATTCCCATGTTTCCAAGCCAAATCTTTGTAAGCATTGTCCTTGAACTCCTCAAGGTAATAGTCTGCTCTGTCCACAGCCCGGAAGGCCTGTTCCACTAGTTCTGTCCGGATGTACTGCGCCTCCTTCAGATTATCGATTAATTCATCATTGTCCTCGCCGGCACTTACAGCACCTCCCATGGTTCGCGCCGATTCAAAAACCAATTCTCGATGGCAGGGGAGAAAAAATGGGAATAGTCATTATCCTGATCGAACGAAGCTGTTCTGCAAAAGAGTCTAGAGGACACAAACTATATGCAAAATGCGTTCTAGAGAAGACAGAGTGGAAACATTTCTACCTACACAAATATCGCCAGTTTTACTCTCTCCTTTGTCACTTTCGTCTTCAAAATGTGGGGATTTCCTCTTGAAAGAATTGGGTAAATTCATTAGACCAATGAAAAAGTCTTTTGATGTTACACACCAGTGACCATGACAAACACTTTTTAAGGCTTTATCAGACAATTTGTTTCTGGATATGGAACCATGGATTTTAGTTGGCAGTGAGTTCTTTCAAGCACAGAGACCTTGTTGGTTTTCTAAGTGCCACAGCTAGGTGGGCCTTATTGCCAGAAAAGTTTCAGACTGATTCCTGCAGCTAGTGTGGTTTTGGTGGAACAATTTGCTCCAAAACGGGAGGTGGAAAAATGTTTCCGAGTCCCTTTTGTTTGACTAAGGAAGAAACCCAAATTCCCCTCTGTGTTATTCCACTGGACTTTCCTGGAAAAGGAACTTTTCTTTAACGATTAATGACTCCATGACTTCTCATGTAAGCCTCCCATCTCATTTTGGAGAATTTTCCTGAGATAACCAGGATCCAAGCTAACTTATTGTGCTTGACTGAACATAAGTGCGAGGAAGACAGCAGTAGTGAATAAAAGAGAATATGCCTAAAATCCTATGCTGGCACGCATGGCTGCATGCTTTACAGAGAATCAATATTTTTAATGCAAGAGCGTAAGGAGAAGCATGAGGAATTTCTGAGCTTACAGGATGGACACACCCTTGTATTAACTTCTTGCCCAGGCTGCATCCCCTGGTGAGCCCTGAGAAAAGCTTCATTTCTCTGAAATTAGCTCTTACCTCTGCTCAGTTGCTCATTGGAGATAAGAGCTTTTTCCTGCAGGGAAGAAGGGGCAGGACCGGGGAAGAAGCTGCTGAGTGATTCAGTCTTATTTACTTCTGGGGTGTTTCCTGCTTCTTATGGGCAGACAAACAAAAGACTTGGCTCTTCTTGTGAGCAGACATGCAGCTCATGTTTACATTTCATTCTGCATAAACATGCAGGGGCTCATCCTGCTTATTTCTGAATGGGTAGGAGCACATTTGGCCTCAGACATGCTGACCTTTGGCAACGTACACCTTGTTTCTGCGCCCAATGGAAGGTGGCCCTGAAAGACCTTTCTCACACTGAAATCCAGACTCTGGATTGAAAAATGCTCTCTACCAACTGGCCAATTTGAAAATAGCAATTTGGCATGAAGGTTAAAGAAAGAAGTAAAAAACAAAATCCTCCTGCAGAAACTGAAAGTATCTTTAAAGGAGATCCTGGAATCCCAGCTTTAAATCCATTGAAATGTGCAGTTGTAACTGTTAAATCTATGGGAATGGCAAACAGACGTGAAGCAAAGCATTAGTCTTAGATCTGATGCAGCCTTCACCACCTGGTACCATCTGTATGTAATGGAATCCAGTTCCTGTTAGCCTTAGCCAGTTTAATCAAAGACCAGGAATCTTGGGAATTGTAGTCCCTCCCCAAAATATGGAGGACAAAGCTGCTCTAATGTGTACACAATACAGCCACTGCACCACTGATTTAATATTCAACAGTCTTTGGACAATACCAGCCTTTTAAAAAGCCAACTCTAATTATTAAAACATAATTTGCAATGCCCAAACTGTCTAGTTCTCCGCAGACTGCTAATTTTCTATACAGGAAGAGCACAATGCAAATTTTTATTTAGAGCACCATGCTTTTCTGTCAAGAACTGCCGAAATGGCAGATTTAGTGTTTGCTCTTAGTTCAGAATGTTCTGCCTCAGCTTCACTGTTACATGTGTTCAGCGCAGACAATGCCCAACCTGTATACATCAAAAATGTGTGAATAAAACCAGAATATACTGCAAGAGCCAAACAAGGCATGGGGGAGTAGGAGCATCCCTGCATAAACCTACCTATTTGTTGAAACAAAGTGGCTGCATGTAAATATTGCTAGCATTGCTCAACTTTGATACCATCAACTCAAACTTTCAATGAAGTCTATTTTGAAAATTATTCACCTTCTAAATTATGCCTGCTATGCATATGCTTGCACAATCTACATGCTCTGGACAACTTCTTAATGGAGTCTGTGCAGAACTTGGGACTGTCTGGCAAAGGCTGTGCTGTGGACGAGATGGGCACAGCAGAGGCAGCCCGGAATCATACCTGCCCCAGGAACGTTCTCCGCATTGCACAATGCCCACTGGTGTTCTCCTAGCAGCTAAACACACAATTAGGCCCACGGCTGGGTTTCGTTGTCTCCTGTATGAGCAGGAGTGTCAAAGCCCACAGCCTGATCTTTTCCTTCTACTTTCAGAAAAAAAAAGAAGAGGCAGGGTGTGTTTCCAGCACAGCCAATTGTGTCTCAACTGCACTGGCATTTGGAGCAGTATCTCTGTGGATTAGCCTGCACAGCTAAGCGGGCACCCAATGGAAGAACCTCCTGCTGAGAGAGTCCCGAAACTGATTTCCCGCTATGGCTAGCCAGATGCACCAAGGAAGCCCATACGGAGGGCAAGAAGATAATAGCCCCCCCCCCCCCACAGTTCACCAGTAACTGGTATGCAGAGACCATGGCCTGTGAACCCCATACATTTCTGCAGATGTATTGGCTGTAGACATAGGACCTGTTCCAGCTTCTCAAAATCTACCTTCCCACAGCACCGTAGTTTTCACTCCCAACTGAAACACAGCCTAGGGACACGTAACCCTTGCAAACTTTACCTCCCTCCCCTGCGAAGTCTCCCTCATGGATTCTTAGTAAGGCACACACACAGGGACCATGAACTGGTTAATTTCCATTCGCTTTCTGCTGCGCACCAAATGACAGAAGTACAAAGTTAAAGAGTTTCCTGATAGAAGCGGGCTACCCTCTGACCTGGCTGCAGTCCAGTTACAGGGTTATTAGCAGGCCTGTTGTGCCTCTACAAGAGATAGCTGGTCTGCAGCCAAGTCCAGGCACACTTACTGAAAACAAGGTCTCCTGTTTACATTGTCCTAACTCTGAAGAACTGCATAGCACTGGGAAGGCGGCATGAGGGTGGTAATGAACAGAACGGTTCTCTTCCCACAGCACAGAACAGTTCTCGTTTTGCAGCCAAAACCTGCTGCAGACACCCTAGTTTCAAAATGCATTACCACTACCAAAAGATGTGTGTGTTCAACTTCTCTTTCTGGCATCACAGTTACAGTTTCTGGCATCTTTCCCATGCCTTTTTCAGACAGAGAGCCAAAACATTGCTGTGTAGCCCGCAGGCCAGGACGTTCGATGGTAGCAAAATGAAGTGGAATTACAGAACTTTGCAAGCGCACCTGGATAGTCACAAGACGCCACCTGAAAATACTTTTTGTGCTCAAAGCTTAGTTCATGTTCCAGGAGTGAGGAAAACACTCAGATTTCAAAGCACACACCAACTTTTCAAGCTGCTGCTGTTTATTCAGAGATGGTGGAGGCAAAGGCCTTGTTATGGTGGGGCAAGCGAGGACTCTTAATTATTTCTAATTTCTACAGCGGAATTTGCTGTAATAGAATTCGCTGTAACCAGAAAGGCTTGTAGGGCTTTAAAAAAATGGAATGCTCATCTACTTCTGAATCTGTTTCCTCTAGAGAGAAAAGAAATTATATTGCTGGGTGCAGTGGTGCGAATACTGATCCTCCTAACTTCATAAGCAGAAAGCACATTCTCATGAGGGAAACTGACCCAAAGCCCTGTAATGAGGGCAGCTGGACAAAAGCCTTTTAATTCGCTTTTTTGGCTGTTTTAGTGATTGTTTAGTTTACTGTAGTTTAATGCTTTATTATGGGAAGCCATCAGATAATACTGGGCAGTACACAAATATTCTGAATAAACAAATATGACCCCCTGCCCCATGGACAGGCAGGGGAGAGAAAATAGGGGAAAGAAAGCCTTGTTACGGTAGATGGAGGAGGAAAAGAAGGGGGAGAATGAAGATCTGACATTCCAATTTGATGGGAATGCAGGCAGAAACCAAAATCCTATTGCAAGAATTTGTGGGGATGCAGAGTTATATATTCCCCATTGCTGTGGAAAATGGGGCACACAAGGAGCTCATAATCACAGGTACAGAGAAACTGCAGAGTGAGTTCATTAACACAGAGGCAGGAGTCTCGAGGCCTAAAATGGGTAGCTGTGTATGTGTGCAGAGTGGCAAAGAACAGCAGTGTTAAATCGGAGCAGGAAGGAATGATAACCACAAGATCCTCATTTATAAGGGGAGGAAGGAGACACTCAACTCTGGTAGGGGCAGGAGGCCACAGCTAAAGCGTAGAGCACATACTTGGCAGTTAGAAAGCCCAGAAAAACGAGGGTGAGAAACATGCCTGCCTTAAGATTTGGAAAGTTGTTGCCAAGTCTGGGTCAACAATACTGAGTTACATGCACTATGCATCTGACTCACTGTAAGATAGTTTCCTATGGAAGAAAGGGATCCAGTACCTGCAGTGACAGAAGGTATTACATTACTGAACGTGCTAAATCTTAGGCCCCCTACTAGCCATGGCAAGTGGTGGAATCTAATAATTAAGGGGTATGTCGAGTGACCCTATTACCATAAAGCTGGAGGAGGAGAGGTGGGGAGGGTCAGGTTTTGCACCCACTGCCCTACAGACTGTGAGTGATAGTAAAAAGGGCATGGAGAGGGATCTCCTGATCTGAGGTGGCTTATGGAGAGGAAGGGATTGACTGATACTTAACACCTACTAGAGATGGAGAGATTATCAAAAGGGATACAGGAGCAAAAATAGCATTTTGTAACTGTTCTTCTGAAGAGTGCTAGCAGATGGGGAATTATGGAGAGGTGGGTGACTCTACTGCCACAAAGTTGGGAAAAAGGGAGTGAGGGAGAACCACGGTTTTATGTTCATTATATTGCAGAATGAGGCTGGAGTGGAAGGAAATGCACTGCAGATTCTCACTGAGAAAGAGCTGGTTGTTTCTGTTATCAAGGGGCTAGGATGGACTGCTTTATATTTATAGTGCTGGAGATGTGGGTGCGCTGGATGGAAAAGAGAATTTCTAGGTCCTTACGAGAAGTAAGGGGCAGAAAAGAAGGAATAGTTGGCTGGGGAACCACAAGAGATCTAAAAAATGGGAAGAATGAGACAAAGGGCAGGGGAGAGAGGTTATGAAGTCCTGGCGGGGAGGGCCAGCCCCTTTACCACGGAGAAGACATGAGATGGTAAAGAGAGGAGTGGGAAGGAGAAGGAAAGATCAACTGTGGAGAAGCTCTGCCTTCTGTTATGAAAGGGTTGTCCATTTATCCAGCGTATGCTTACAAATTGGCTTACCAAAAAAAGTTTAAATTGAGCGTAATAGTAAAAGCAGCAACAAAAAGAAAACATAGTCAGGGAGGGAGGGCATAAGGGTAATGTGCAGATATTAGAACCGTTTAATGGGGGAGAGCAAGCAGCTCGCCGCCTCCTTGCCATGGGGCAGAGGTCGGCGCTGAAGACTGGGGGGAGCGGTGCCGTGGGGCCAAGGGAGAACTTGGAAGCTGGGGGGGGGGGGGGGGGGGGCTAGCTCGCCCCTTGTCGTGGAGCAGGGGGGCGACGGAAGGAGGGGCCGGACGGCCTCCTTCCGCGGGGATGGGGCGGACCTTGAAGGCGGGAGGCCAGCCAGCCCCCTTGCCCGTGGGGCAGGAGAGATGGTGGGCAGCGCGGGAGCAGTGGCGCGCTAGCCCCGGGGCCACGGCAGGTCTGGAGGCCGGGGGCGGGCAGGGGGCGAGCCAGCCCCCTTGCCACGGGGCGGGGGGGGACAGGACGTTGCGGGACCACCCGTCATGGCGGGAGGCAGGTCCGACTGGGCCCATACACGCCACGGAAGCGGGCGCCCCTGCCGGGGGCGGCTGAGGGGCTTCAGGCCGGGGGGGCAGGAGGGAGCACACCTTGAGGCAACACGGGGCCGAGGAGGGAGCCCGGCGGGTGCGAGGCACCCCTTGCCCCGGGACTGGGGGAGGGGGGCTACGGTGACCGCGGGGAGGGGCTTGACCCCCGCCCTGACAGGAAGCGAGGAGGGGGCCTCCTCCCCCCGCCTCACAACTCGAGGAGGGAGGGGAGCCCCTCGGAAGAACAGCAGGCGCGTCTCTACCTGTTCCTCCAGCACCAGCAGCCTCCGCCGGCCCTTCTTTTTCCTCCTCCCCCCTCCTCCTGCCTCCTCTTCTGCTCCCCCCGCCGCCACACGCCGAAGTCCCACAGCTGTAAACAGTCACCCAGCTGGAGAAACACCCCCCTCAGGGCAGCGCCACTGCGCAGGCGCCGCACGGGAGCGACGCACGACGCGACCAGGAGGAGGGGGCGGGGCGGGAGCTGAGCGAACGCGCGCGCGCGCGAGCGAACAAGCGCGTTGGGGATGTACCATTCCGGCCCAAAACGCAGGGAGAGCTTGGGGAAGGCATGGACCAAGCGACGGGGAAGGGTGTAACCACGGTTGCCTTTCTTGACTGGGGGAAGGAAGTACCACTGAGTGCAAGAAGGAAAGGGGTGTGTGTGACGGACGAGGTGGTCTTGACGCCACGGTGAAGGGCGGCGACGAGGATGATGGGAATGGAGACTACGTTTGAGTAGCGGCTGTGCAAGGTCCTTCCTCAGCGATCGCCTCTTGCTACGAATTCACGGGGTGGTCTTGCAGCATTCTGACAGCTCACCCCCATCCCAGGTGCAATAATAGTGACCTCCCTTATAGGGAAAAAAGAGGCTAGTTGCAGTTTCCAAGCGCCTGATAAAGTTGACAATGCCGAGAGAAGTACGCGCAGGGTTACGTGCTCTTCCGAGCATGTCTTGCAGGTAGCAACCCTATGCATGTCGAGACAGAAAAAATTCCTACAGTTCCCAGCATGCCCTTCTGGCTAGGGTATGGTTAGCGAGAAAAAAGCCCTACAGTTCCCAGCATGCCCAGACAACTATGCTGAAAAATTTACTTGAGAGTACATTCTGTATGCAGAGCACATTATGAGAAAGGCGGGCCTAGATGAATCACCAGATGGAATTAAGATTGCTGGGAGAAATATCACAACTTCAGATATGCAGATGATACCACTCTCATGGCAGAAAGTGAAGAGGAACTAAAGAGCCTCGTGATGTGGGTGAAAGAGGAGAGCGCAAAAGCTTGCTTCAAACTCAACATTAAGAAAACTAAGATCATGGCATCTGGTCCTCTCACTTCCTGGCAAATAGATGGGGAAGAAATGGAGGTAGTGACAGATTTAATTTTCCTGGGCTCCAAGATCACCGCAGACGGGGACTGCAGCCAAGAAATTAAAAGACGCTTGCTCCTGGGGAGGAAAGCGATGGCAAATCTAGGCAGCATACTAAAAAGCAGAGACATCACCCTGCCAACAAAAGTGCGTATAGTCAAGGCGATGGTTTTCCCAGTTGCAATGTATGGCTGTGAAAGCTGGACCATAAGGAAGGCTGAGCGCCGAAGGACTGAGGCCTTTGAATTGTGGTGCTGGAGGAGACTCCTGCGAGTCCCTTGGACTGCAAGGAGATCAAACCAGTCAGTCCTAGAGGAGATCAGCCCTGACTGATACTGAAGATGAAACTTCAGACCAGATACTGAAGATGAAACTCAAATACTTTGGCCATCGAATGAGAAGGAAGGACTCCCTGGAGAAGAGCCTAATGCTGGGAACAATAGATGGCAAAAGAAGAAGGGGACGGCAGAGGATGAGGTGGCTGGATGGGGTCACTGAAGCAGTCGGTGTGAGCTTGAGTGGACTTCGGGGGATGCTGGAGGACAGGAAGGCCTGGAGGAAAGTTGTCCATGGGGTCGCGATGGGTCGGACACGACTTCTCGACTAACAACAACAACACATTCTATTGATCCCAACAGGGCTTAGTTGAGGGTTAACATGCATAAGCCAAAAAGAAAGAAAAAGCCTAGATCCATGACAGAAGAAAACATTGCCAAGGGTCAGGTGAGAAGCAAAAGGAGTCAGAGATAGGGACAGAAACCTGAATGAAATGTTTCAGTGATGATCGAGTAGAGACAAAAAGAACTAATACAATGACCTGCACAAAGAAAGAGAAGAGAACAAGAAAAAAAGGAAAATGAGAGACCTCTTCCAGAAGATCCAAGAAGTCAAATGGAAATCCAAAACTGGATTAGGAATGCTGAAAGACAAATAGGGAGGCATAATATCCAACCAGGAGAAAATAAAGAGTAGGTGGAAGAACTATAAATAGATGAAAAAATGGACATGAAAAGATCTATCACTTTTGTATATAGACCTTCCATATGTTGCTTTTCCAGGACAAATTGAGCAAAACCTTTGCCATATTATGGCTGCTAAAAGCTTGACGCTGTAAGAACAGCATTAGGATGGGTTTCCTGATCAGATCAAGAATCCATGTTGCAGGTTTTGTTTCCCACGTACAGCTTAGGAATGCTAATATCCCTGCCCTGAAAGGCCTGTCCTTTGGGGCACACCTTAGACATGCTATTGTCTGCTTTCCCTGAAGGTGGGCTCTTCATTGTGTGCAACCCTGTTTTACTCTAATATGCCTTTAGCATATCCCACCTGATCCTTCCAAACTGGGTATGTAATTTTAGGCATTTTATTTATTATTTATTTAGACAGCTTATATGCTGCCCCCTTTGCATAAGCCTCGGGTGGCTTACATTTGTACCGACTCCATCTTTGTGGAGGGGGGCGGGTTTGCCTATTTGTGGCATGTATTCCCTGTATCTCTGAATAAACTGATGTTTTTATTGTACACCCCCAGCAGACTCTGGTTCTTTTTCACTCTTGTCAAGTTTTTTCCTTCTCTTTATTTTATTCTGATCAGATAGAAAAGCTCTGTAGTTCCCAGCTAGCTTTGCTGAAAAGTGAACTTACTTGTGAGTAAGTCATATTGATCTCAACATTGATCTTTTTATTTAAGCGTCATTTTAATTGTTAATATTACTCGCTTATTTTATCTGGCCAGGGCGACTTATTTTATATTGTTATCTTTTGTATTTTAATTTATGTTGTGAGCTGCCCCGAGGCTTCGGCGAATGGGGCAGCATAGAAATGTTTTAATAAAATAAAATAAATAAAACAGTGCTTGCACCTGGGAAACCAAGCTGGAATAGCTTGGTTTTCTTGAAGCTCAGAAACCAGGCAGCTTTAGGACACAATCCTATGCCTGCTTAGATGGAAGAAAAAGGTTTGCAACTGGCTGGGCCCTAATGCAAGTTGTAGGCTTTCGTTCTGCTTACACATTTATAGGATTCCTATCGCTGGAGCTACATGCCTCTTGTTTTGGCTGCTGCAGTCTAGCAACAGGCTGCTTCCCTGGAAAGTACAATCTTGCAGGACTAGTATACGGATTGCAGCAAGAGAATTTACATGAAGGGCTTTAAACTCTGAAAAGTGCTACATTAAGTATAATCCAAAGCATCCGCTGTGCACCAGGTTGCTTCACCTGTGTTTTACAAATGCTAGGCACTTACTGTTTTAATTGTATTAATATCACTATTGCACAGGTGACTAAAAGGCCAGGTTTCGTTGATTTGGTAGGGATGCTGCATTGTCTTGCGTTGGCCACAAGATGTCTCCCTTGCTTTGTGCCATAGTTTCCAGCGTCAAAGTTGTGTTTGCACGAACCGAGGAGGAGGAGGAGGAGGAAGTCATACCCTACGAAACCCTGCTTCGTTCCGTTTCAGGGAAAAAGTAGCAGCACCCCTTTGCTGTTGAACTAGTAGTCCAATAAACCAGCAGCAAGATCAGTAATCATAATTGAAAAAACAAATACTAAATTAAAAATACTAAACTATTGCTCCAGCTTGGATAACCATCCGAACGGTTGCGGCAAGCGTGCATGGATTGCACTTAACTGCATTCTAATGAAGGGTGTCCTAGAAACTGTAGTTGGTTTTAAGTCTGGGTCTGTCCCTCAGTCTGCAATCCTAGCCATAAATCCCTAAATGTAGCACATCCTGTTCCTTTATCTAAAGGCGTTGCGCCTCATATTTGTTCTGAGTGGCTAACAGAATGTATGTAAGTTATGAAACAGCAAGAGCCGTGGAGCATCATGAGATAAAATAAGCCACTGTCCCTTTAGGTTAAAGACCACAACCTAAACATAGGATCCCTGGGGCAAGGGAGAAAGTTACCACCTGGAAAAGCAAAAGGACATTACCAGGAGAGCCTCCTCAGGCCCCTCCAGGCCTCTCCTCTAAAAACAGGAAGGATCCAAAGATGGCTGGCCGAGCAAGTGTCCTCTTACATTTTAAAGTTAAGATCAGTCTTTTGCCAATGGTGGCTCTCCTATTTTTGATGGTTCCAGCGATGCCACAAGGAGGAAGACGATGATGATGCTGGCTTCTAACATACTGCACCAATCCTTGCTGGGGAGCCAGGGACATTCAAGTTCCTGGCTTTGTCCAAGTGCTCCTCCAGGAGAGATCCTGGCTTTTTGGAAAGATGTTGAATTCCATCAAGCACAAATGTAGGAGGCAGCACAAATATAATCACAGGAAGAGGAGAAGGAAGTCCAACTTTTTGGATAGCACCACATCCTCCTCCTTTTCTTCTGCTTCTTGGCCTTTTCTTCCTGGCCTGGTGTAGAGGGAGAATGGAAAGCCAAGGGCACCCTAGCACGCATTCTAAAAATACTTGGGATGTCCATGCAAAGAGCCAGTTCTTTCCCCCGTAAGTATGCTCTGTCTAACAGAGGGGCTGCAGGTCAGCCTGAGGTGGAGAAGGAATCCGTCCCAGTCTCTCCCTGTTAGACACCCCCAGGTACAATAGCGCCCAGGTGACAGCAGCATTGGCAGGGCGTTCTGCGGGGCCCTTCCTTGAGTGTGCAGAGCTTCCATCCAAGGATCTAGGGGGGAAGGAGAGTTGTTGCTGCGCATGGGACCATCCATCCCCTGAAGACCCGGCCACAACTGGGATGCCTTCTCAGGACCTTCATCCTGTGATTCTAAACAAGCCCCTCAAGGTTCTTAATAGCACTTACCTTCTGCTTCCACCTTCAGTGGAAGGCCCTGCCCAGGGTCTATGGAAGTTTTTCTTCCGATGCCCCGTCTGGTCCTCTGGTGCCTTTTCCTAAGAATTTCCTGGAGTTGTTCAGCTCAGAATGGAAGACGCCAGCCTGATAAAAGCCAGCTGTTGAATAGAAATGGGTTTATTTTATTTCTCTACCATGTTTCATAAGAGTTTCTTGAAGTACAATAAAAACTGATACAATTAAATATACAGGTACAATAAAACACAGTCTAAAATCCCAGAAT